TAAGGGTGTGAACTCTGCCATCTCTGACTGCCCTGTGTGTGTGTAAGGGTGTGAAGTCTGCCATCTCTGACTGCCCTGTGTGTGTGTAAGAGGGTGAAGTCTGCCATCTCTGACTGCCTTGTGTGTGGGGTAAGGGGGTGAAGTCTGCCATCTCTGACTGCCTTGTGTGTGCCGGGGTAAGGGGGTGAAGTCTGCCATCTCTGACTGCCTGTTCTCCCTTCAGCACTACCTGACGATGTTCCCGGGCGTGCTGGCGGTGCCGCTCCTCCTAGCGGACAGCCTGTGCATGGCAGGTGATGACGTAGCCAAGAGCCAGCTGCTGGGAACGCTGTTTGTGGTCGGAGGAATGGCCACGATGCTACAGGTGGCCGTAGGAAGCAGGTAAGTACAGTGGCCCATACGTACATATTTTCCCAGGTAAGTACGGTGGCACACACGCACAGGATTCTGCACCACTGCCCAAACTGTTTGTGGTGGGAGGGATGGCCACGATGCTACAGGTTTCCACAGGCAGCAGGTAGGTACAATGGCCCACACATACAAGTTTCCAAACCCCTGTACACGGCAGGCAAGTACCGTGGCCGGCACGCACAAGATTCTGATATGCATCACTGATGGTACAACCGGTCAGCGACCAAAAATCATTGGTCATTGAGATTGCTGAAGGGTCACTGAAAGATTATTAAGCAGTCCTTGAATGACCTTGAGAGACCTCTGAAATAAATCGCAATATCCCCAAGTGAAATAGATATCAAAAAAGTTTCACCAGATCCGCTTGTCTTCTCCCAGATTACTCACAATCCACCGCTTATGTTCTCTCCCCCAGATTACCCATAGTCCAGGGCGGCTCGTCTGCGTTCGTGGCGTCCATCTTGGCCATCATGTCGCTGGACAAGTGGAGCTGCCCGGCCGGGTTGGGGGACACCAACGGTACGCAAAACCCGATTATCCTAGCCCAAATCTACAGCAAAGTGCTTAGGATGGCGTATTAGCTATAGTCTAGCTGTATTGCCGCTTTGATAATGTCTTGTAACCATTAAAGAATTTGTACGGAGGTTATTTGCATGCAATAAAAGCGTTACATAATTTGTATCTCTTTTCTACCCATGCCAGGAGCGCCCAACGTCACCCAGTCCCCTCTAGCCAACAGCAGCGCGGCGGAGGCCTGGCAGACACGGCTAAGGGAGGTGAGACATTACTTAATTAACTTGGATTTTCTTAAGAGTCAGACAGTTGTGAATCCAGACACATGAAGACGGCTGTCACCATGGTAACTGGTGCTGTAGCAGACACACTGTGGTGTTAGGTTACATTATGTGGCAAGTAGCAGGGCAGTGTTGTAGGACTGATCACCATATATATGAATGTGTTTGATTAAAAATAAACAATAGTTTGTTACGCTAGACCATGTGAAGGTGAACATTATGAAGCTCAGAAGCTGCTTTTTAAACGTTATCTTAAAGTTTCTAGTTTGTAAGTGTTCTCCTGGTCGCTTCTGCCCCTCCACAGCTGCAGGGCGGGTTGATGGTTGCCTCAGTGCTGGAGATTTTACTCGGGTTCAGCGGAGTGATCGGTTTCCTGCTGCGGTACATCGGCCCGCTCTCCATCACGCCCACCATCTCCCTCATCGGCCTGTCCCTCATCCCCGTCACCGCAAACTTCGCCTCCAAGCAGTGGGGAGTCGCCGTCATGTAAGTAGCCTGGTAACCAGGCCATCTTAGGCTCCCTCATCCCGGTCACCGCTAACTTCGCATCCAAGCAATGGGGAGTCGCCGTCATGTAAGTAGCCTGGTAATCAGGCCATCTTAGGCTCCCTGGTATCTCTGTAAGTAGTCTGGCAGCCAGATATCGTGTGGCTCCCTGCCGTCCCTGGTATGTAAGTAGCCTGGCAGCCAGGCATCTAAGGCTCAATGGTATCTCTGTAAGTAGCCTGGCAGCCAGGCCGTCTTAGGCTCCCTGGTATCTCTGTAAGTAGCCTGGCAGCCAGGCCATCTTAGGCTAGCTGGTATCTAACCTAACTTCGCCTCCAAGCAGTGTGGCGTCGCCGTCATGTAAGTAGCCTGGCAACCAGACATCTTAGGCTCCCAGTATAAATAGCCTGGTAATCAGGCCATCTTAGGCTCCCTGGTATCTCTATAGTGCTGGGAGCGTTGACTGACAAGCAGTGGGGCGTCGCTGTCATGTAAGTAGCCTGGTAATCAGGCCATCTTAGGCTCCCTGGTATCTCTATAGAGCTGGGAGCGCTGACTGACAAGCAGTGGGTCGTCGCCGTCATGTAAGTAGTGTTCTATCCAGAACCATACTGTATCCAGAACCGTGCTTTATCCAGAACCGTGCTTTATCCAGAACCGTGCTTTATCCAGAACCGTGCTTTATCCAGAACAGTACTTTATCCAGAACTGTGCTTTATCCGGAGCCATGAGCAGGAACACTTCAGGATGGCACAAGCATATCTAAAACCGCGCCCTTTCCAAATCTACGTTCGAGGACTATCCGTAACCAGGTCGGAACACTAACCCGTTCAGGCATAGAACTGGATAGACACTGTTCTGGATATGATGAGCAGTTTCGTCGGATGTGTATGGAGAAGGGGAACAAAGCTATATGGCCCGGCGCGTCTGTTTGCCATAACAAGTTGGGATTCGCGTTCCGTGTTATCCTCCTTACGATGCTAACCGTTCCTCCCGTTCCTCCAGGACGATGGTCCTGATGCTGCTGTTCTCTCAGTACCTCCAGCGCTTCAGCCTTCCCTTCCCGGCATTCAACAGGAAGAGGCGCTGTCACGTGGTCTGGTTGCCCATCTTCAAACTATTCCCGGTAAGCACAGGAAAACAGTTACTCAAGAAACTGGATAGCTATAGATTCTGAAAAGTTCCTGTTGTTTTAAGCAGCATCCACTACATTTCATCAGTGACTAACTGAATCTGAAGTGGGACATTTACATTCTGTTAGTCACCGACGAAAAGTAGTGGAAGCTGCTTAAAGCTAAGTGTCTGACAGTTTCCAAAATCTATCCGGTTGATTGAGTAACTCTTATGTGTGTTTCGTCTGTTTTTTTGTGTTATCTCTGATAACAGTTTGCCCTGTGTCCTGTACTTTTTGTGCGTTATTACTGAGACTATATTGCCGTGTGTCGTGTGTGTTTCGTGTGTTATTCCTGATCACATGTTACCGTGTTCCACCCTAGGTCCTGCTGGCGATCCTGACGTCCTGGGCCGTGTGTGCCGTCCTGACGGTGACCGGCGCGTTCCCGACCGACCCCGCCCGGCAGGGCTACTTGGCTCGTACAGACCTCAGGAACACTGTAATACAGACCGCGCCCTGGTTCCGCTTTCCTTATCCAGGTTTGTTTATTTGTGTGTTTGTTTGTTTGTTTGTTTGTTTGTTTGTTTGTTTTGTTGTGACCGGTGCGTTCCCCACCGACCCCGGCCGGCAGGGCTACCTGGCGCGCACGGACCTCAGGAACACTGTCATACAGACCGCGCCCTGGTTCCGCTTCCCCTACCCAGGTAAGGCTGTGTTTTTGTCTGTCTGTCTGTCTGTCTGTTTGCTTGTTGCGACCTCCATGCCCGAAGGTCGTGGCGTGTCCTTGTATGAGATTAAAAAAAACATGCTATACTTTAGTACCGACAACACCTGAACGACGAATGAAAATAAAAGTGACAGTTCAAATTCCACTTCAGATTCTTAGTTTATTTCTTCTTCCCTTTCTTCGTTCCTTTCGTAGATTTCTTCTTCTTCTCCTCTTTCTTCTTGATGAGTTCATCTGTCTCAGACGCCGATCCGTCCTCATCACTGCTGCTGCCGCGCCGCCGCCCTCCTCCCCGCTGATCCTCAGCATCCCTGCTCCTCCTCTTCCTTTTGCACATGACCAGGATGCAGATGGTCCACAGCAGGCCGATGATAACGCAGCAGACGGCCGACAGCGCCCACACGTTACGAGCGCCCCCTAGCGATCCCTTGTGCTTCAGCCACGACACGAACTGCTGGTTCTTCCCTCCAGCGCTCAGCATGATCTGTGGGGGAAAATATCTTATCCAGAACAAGGCTTTATCCAGAACACTGGGGACTGAGGCAAAAACGTGCTTCGTTTTCAAAGGTCACCCAACAGTTTTCTTCAGTAGTGCTAGAAAGCTGAAGAGAGAGAGGGGGGAGATTGAGAGAGGAGATAGTGAGAGAGGAGAAAGAGAGGAGAAAGAAAGGGAGAGAGAGTGAGAGAAGGGAAAGAAAGTGAAAGAGAGAGAGAGAGAGAGAGAGAGAGAGAGAGAGAGAGAGAGAGAGAGAGAGAGAGAGAGAGAGAGAGAGAGAGAGAGAGAGAGAGAGAGAGAGAGAGAGAGAGAGAGAGAGAGAGAGAGAGAGAGAGAGAGAGAGAGAGAGAGAGAGAGAGAGAGAGAGAGAGAGAGAGAGAGAGAGAGAGAGAGAGAGAGAGAGAGAGAGAGAGAGAGAGAGAGAGAGAGAGAGAGAGAGAGAGAGAGAGAGAGAGAGAGAGAGAGAGAGAGAGAGAGAGAGAGAGAGAGAGAGAGAGAGAGAGAGAGAGAGAGAGAGAGAGAGAGAGAGAGAGAGAGAGAGAGAGAGAGAGAGAGAGAGAGAGAGAGAGAGAGAGAGAGAGAGAGAGAGAGAGAGAGAGAGAGAGAGAGAGAGAAAGGGATCCGGAGTTTGTGTGTATGTGTGATTAGAGTAATGGTGATACGGGCTAATAAATACAGGCTAAGGGTTGCTATAGAGAGAGAAAGAGATAAGGAATAGAGGGAGGGAAAGAGGGTGTGTTTCTGTGCGATGGTAGTAATAAGAGATCATAAGAGTACACATCTGAGGGTACGGGCTAGGGGTTTGGTCTATCGTATAAGGTATAAGGTCTATCGTAACCAGAATCTATAGTTCTACGCCTGAATGGGTTAGGATCAGGCAGGCAGGGCCCTGAATACAACAAGACCCCACATCGCCGTTACCTCGCTCGATATGACCTCTGTGCCGCCTGGAAACGCCACCACGCATGCGTACAGCCCGGAGTCCTCAGGCTGCAGTGCCCGGATGTGGAGAGTGTGGGAGTCGTCCACCGACAGACGGTCTTTACCCAGAACCGACTCCTTGTCTTTCACCCATCTACAGCGGGCGGGGAGGTTTTACAGGGTTTACATAGAAAATGTCATGATCAACACGATGGAAAACACACAAACACTCACTCACTCACTCACTGACTCACACTCACACTCACACACACACACACACACACATACACACACACACACACACACTCACTCAATCACTAACACACACACACACACACACACACACACACACACACACACACACAAACCAAACACACACCTTCTGCCTGTGCAGCTCCCCTTCTATGCCTGAATGGGTTAGGGATAAGGGTTAGGACCAGGCACGGTTCTGGATAGTCCCCGCCTATCCAAGAACGTAGATTTGCCCCAGACACGGTTCTGGATACGCATAGACTATACCCAGAACCGTGCCTGAGCATGGCTGTGTATAAAGAACAGTTCTGGATATAACATATGTACAGGCAGCGCCTTTGGTCACCTAAAAATCTTCAAGGAATCTTCAAGGTATTTCCACGCCATACCTGGCCACCGCTGCGGGCACGTACTTGACCATGAGGTCGGCGTTACAGCTCAGCTTGACGTCGTCCTTGAGCGGGAAGCTGGCCAGGTAGCGGAACCTGTCGAGCTGCCGCAGCGCACAGTCGCCCAGCCGGGCCAGGCAGAGCAGACACAGCAGTAGCCCGGCCCAACCGGAGCGCATGGTTCAGACGCGCTATTTATTAAATACTGGGTAGAGAGGAAAACACATACACGGGACGTGACCTTCAGTATGTTCTATGGAACTTTGTTCTATAGAACGCCATTCTATTGTTCTGCTACAATGAACAAGTATCTATACTGTACGGAGCGTCCGTGTTTCCTATCCCGGAGAACAGCACTTTCCTTGTTATGGAAGATGAGGATGACTAAGACTTAGATAAATTAAGAATTAGCGATTCTTTGATGATTAAAGTTAAGATCCAGAGAGCTAAAACTGGTTTGATATCGCTGCCACGCCGCAGCATTGGCGCCTCCCTTGGTGCTGAAAGCTAAGCTTTCATGGCGTGTGTGTGTAACTGTGTGTGTGTTATATGTTATATGTTACAGGAGAGTGGGGCATGCCCACGGCCAGCGCCGCCACCATTCTCGGCCTTCTCGCCGCCATGATGGTCACGTCCATCGAGTCCGTGGGCGACTACTACGCGTGCGCGCGGATCTCCCAGATCCCGCCGCCGCCAAACCACGCGATAAACCGCGGGATCGGCATGGAGGGGCTGACAACCCTGCTGGCCGCCGCCTGGGGCTCGCCTGTGGGGACAACGTCATTCAGCCAGAATATTGGAGCTATTGGCATTACTAAGGTACTTAGTTTATGTAAACAACACAAAAGATTGTGGATGGCCTTTCCCTGGCCTTTTCCCGTACCCTGCACGCAAATGTTTCCGGCGTTTATAACGTTTTGTGAAGTTTGCTTTTATTGTTGTTATGTATGTGCCAACATATGTAATAAAATAAAATCTATGTGTAAAGTCACTGTACTGTACAGTAAGTCGTGGAATCAAATCTTACTTGCCAATGCTAAACGTATAAAAGTCCAGGAAAATAAACATTTGAAAATATGTAAGTTTACCACACTGAAATTTAATCTAAAACTGGTTCAATATCGCCGTCATATCGCAGTATAGGCACTGTCCTTTGTGCTGAAAGCTCGGGTCTAACGTTACTAGTATGTGTTACTGTACAGGTAGCGAGCCGGCGTGTTGTGCTGTAGCTCGGTTTTAACATTATGTATTAATTCTTTATTTCTTTATTTGGATTTTCCACAACAAGATGGAGGGGGAGACAAAACAGGTGATTACTCACATCTTCACGTTGTCTCCCCGTTGTGTTACCGTACAGGTAGCGAGCGGCGTGTTGTCCTGTTGATGAAAGCTCGGTTTTAACGTTATGTGTTACTGTGCAGGTAGCGAGTCGGCGAGTCGTGCTGTGGTCGGCTCTGATCATGCTGGTGTCGGGAGTTGTCTGCAAGTTTAGCGCGGTCTTCACGACCGTCCCGGACCCGGTGGTGGGCGGAGTGTTCGCCGTGGTGTTCGGCATGGTGTCGGCCGTCGGAATGTCAAGCTTACAGGTGGGATGGTGGAGACAGAAACGGGATTTAGCCTGACCTTTGCTCATGCACTGGATAGTCCATGTGTTTACAGAACCATGCTTTATCCAGAACCGTACTTTTATCCAGAATCATGCTCAGTCACGGTCCTGAAAAGTCAGTGCGTATCCAGAGCCATGCCTGGGGCAAATCTACGTTCTTGGATACACTGATACTTTCCAGAACCGTGCCTCATTAAGAAAAAAAAAACTACCCCATGATGGGTATTCATTATTTTTGATGCTGTGGTCAGATTCATTCCGTCATTCATTAATCTATCGCTCATTTATTGATCTGTTCCTTCATTCCGCCCAGTTTGTAGACCTGAACTCGTCCCGGAACCTGGTGATCCTGGGCTTCTCGCTGTTCTGCGGACTCATGGTGCCGGGGTGGATGTGGGACAACCCGGGGGTGATCAGGACAGGTACGTTGGGTACATTTAGCTTAAGATAAGTCGTTCGTTTCAGCACAACTATATCTGCCATTTGTGATAATTTAGATTCTAACTCCTTTCTTCTTTTTGTCATCAATAATATATAAAAGGAGGTTATATGGAGATATATAAGAGCACTTTTTATCGGTGTTTGCAGGCTTCTGTCGTTGACCCTCCTCGGCACACACGTTTGTTTGTTTATTTGTTTATTCATCATTTGTTTGTTTGTTTGTTTGTTGTACACAGGCAGTTCTGAGGTAGACCAGATCCTGACCGTGCTCCTCAGCACTCACATGTTCATTGGCGGCTTCATAGGATTCACTTTAGACAACACGATCCCCGGTAAGGAGTTAAGCAACGAACGTAGAAGCAATGACAACAAAAGCTTTCATGACAATAAAAGCTCCGTGGACAAATATTAGAAACCCTCTAAAAGAAAAGGAAAGTTAAATGTTGATCCCAAATGCATGGAGAAAAGGAACATTAGATTAACGATGATCCTTTTCAACTTTTGCGCTCTATGCTAGCTGTCCATAGTTTTTCAAATGTCTTGTAAACGCCTTTTTTTCCGTTGTAAAAGTGGCTGCGAGAATATAAGTTGTACCTAACTTGAGTTCGTAGTCACTTAGTCCATGTCCTTTTATTTGTATTCATCACTGTGCTTCTGAATAAGAAAAAAACTTTTGCGCTCCTTAATTGTTTTTCTAAGCAAAGTGGTTACTGAAGACAATTCTCGTTTCTAGAAAAGATGGAGTCGGACATACATAGATCAAACAGCTTTTTATATATTATTCTCCCTATAACCTACTTACATAGAGTCAAACTTTAAACTTCACCCGACGATATGTGTGTAATACTAACATTGTGGGGTCGTGTGGTGTAGCGACAGAGTGCGCGACTCGGAACCAGAGGTCCCGGGTTCGAGTCCTGACATGCCACCGATCTTGTGCCCTTGGGAAAGGCACTTTACACGACTTTCCTCACTTCACTCAGGTGAAAATGAGTATTGTCCTGTCCGGTATTTGTCCCCTGTGTTGGTGGCGGCATTAATGTAAGTTGAAAAAACTTGAGTGTGTCGTCACCATGTCTGGTGATTAAATGTTGGAATAAAAAAGTAATACTAACATTGAACTTTGACCTCCCCGTTCCCGCCAGGAACGCGAGAGGAACGCGGGCTGCTGCAGCATGACGTCAGCAGCGATACCCCGGATGTTGCCCTTCACTACGGCTTTCCGTGCGGGAATGACCTTGTGAAGCGGCTGACCTTCACCAGACACGTGCCCTTCTGCCCGACCTTCAGCCCGACCTTGAACGCTAAATGCTGCAGGAAACGGAAGGACAGTGCGGCGGAAATGGACGATCCTGTTACAGCACTTTAACAAGAAGAGCTTCACAAGTTCATGGTCAAACTACATTGTAATGTCATGTTCTTGTCAATAGGGCTTACTCTCCAAGCAATTTGGGCTTTGACTTATTTCTGGCTTTTTAAAAAAGTTTTTTCGGGTTTTCTTTTTTGTACTGGTCAAAAAAAATATACCAGTACAAAAAAAAGCTACAAAAATGTCTAAAACTTTAGCACGCCAGAAATAAGCCAAAGCCAAAACCTCTGCTTGGAGAGTAGCAGGGCTAGCCCTTTGTGGTAGCCACAGGCTAGTTGGACTACATTGGCTGTGCGTGTTTAACAGCCAAACGAACAAATAAATTTGCCATGCAGTTAAGGGTAGATACGGGGTAGAGGGTAACACAAATAAGTTTTGTGTTGAAGTGAACTCACGTCTCTGAACAGAACATGAGAAGAATTTAACATTACAAAAGAGTGGGATCTTTCATCTTCCACTGTCTCAGAAATCTGTATCTGTATCTGTATAGCCGGTATAACCGCCTTTCGGCGTAACACACCAGCTTGAAAGAAGTTAAAGCCAGCGAGTTACAATCTTATTGTATATGTACAGGTGCTTTATTGTGTTCCGTAGTATTTGCAATTACTAGTAGTCCTCGGGCAAGAATTTACAATGATACCTGTAAAATCGTTTTCCCATAGATCAACTACATGTATTAGCTAGCAACCATGTCAACCGAATAAATCATAACTACTAAGTTTGCCTTCTCTTTCATATATCTTAACATCTGCTTGAGGAATTTCGGATACGATGCCCTTGTTGAATATATATAACATGCCGTTTCCAAGTATTCTTTTTATTCAGAAAAAAGTTATAATAATGAATACCAATAAAAGGACAAAGTGACTGCGAACTCAAGTTAGGCAAAACTTATATTCTCGCAGCCACTTTTACCATGTAAAAAAAAGGGTATTTTACAAGACTATTGAAAAGTGTGGATTCATAAGGGACCTAGTTGAAGCGTTTTTTTTTTCATCACATTGGTGATCTTTTTGGTTCCGAGTGCGCTGTCAAGTCATTACTAAGCACGTGAGCAGGTAAGCTTTGCTTGAGGATTGCCATAGTATACGCCCAACATCTGCTTGGTTTTCATTCATATGGTAAAGAGATCGACGGCGAAAACTCCACTTCTGCAAAGGCTGTGACCACTTCTGCAAGCGATCAGCTGATCGCAAAATCACGTTTTGACGTATAACTCGAAGACGAAGCAAACTTGATGGAAGGCAATAAGTAGGAATAGAGTAGAGACCGTACGGAGTATACTCTGAAGACAAGGAGGCCGAAAAATGTCAAAAGTTTCATTTTTCTGAAATTGAAAATGCGGATATTCATCCCCTATCACACCCCCGTTTTGGAGCACCCGTTCAGAAAGGGTCCGTATCTCGCTAAAGAAGCCTCGCTCATTCCCAGATTTTGGCATTTCGCGAGTGGGGAAACGCGATGGGCTCTTATGGGGGTTTTACTCCAAGTCTTTCCTGCTCTTGTTCTTGACCTTGAGGCTCACTCCGACCACCCTAAATACCACGAATGTATTGAGAAAGAACCATTTAGTCTTGCACCTGTACATTTCGAGAGAAATATTATCAGAACGGCTTGTAGGAGCGGCTGAATATGGTGCTATTTTGGCAATATTTCTGTCGTTTCAGTGTTCAAGAAACTAATAATCACTGCAAAAGTATCATTTATGCACATTAAAACTCTTATACCTCCTTTATATCAATTAAAATATTCAGTTGAAATGCCTTATTCTCCACATAGTATCCCCATACATACAAACACAAACAAACACATTTCAAACAAACATTGCTTATAACAAAACATTACAATTTATATTTTTGACATTGATTGAAACCAAAGTTTAGCATTATGACACAAAATGTTTACATATCAGTTACTGCAATTATAGAGATATTTACAAAATCAAATGGACAGGATACAAACAAAATGTGTTGTAATTGATACCTGAAAGGCATTTTATATGGGATTATGATGTGTATCTTTAAGTTGTAAACCATCTTTTCATTTTTCTTCCGTGTCCCTTTCTCAGCATTATATAAACAGGTACAGAGATAGTCCTTTAATTTCCCAACATTATACATGTATAAACAAGTACAGAGGTAACACTTTATGGCACCAGTAAAAAGTCCGTTCACAGATCATCACTTGTTCGTCTTGTCGGAGAGTTGTCGGTGGTCTTCGGAAGTAGCCGACGGCTCGCCGACTTCGCCCGACGCCCCACGATCTTCCCCGAGCGGTTCCGAAGACCTGTCGGCGTCCTCAGACGGTTTCTCATATCTCTTGGGACCCGCGATTCTCCGGGGGAAGTCGTGAAGGGACTTGGTCTAGAAAATGGAAAGATAGAAAGAAAGAAAGAATAAAGATTGAGACTAAAAAGCGTTGTTTCATGATAGAATAAACCAGCAATTTGTCTCATTCTTAGGGAAATTCAACCGGAATGACAGATTAAGAAAAACGTATTTCTGAATGTATAAAGACGATAATCTTTATGCCGATATTTTGGTGGTGTAACAAGACAGTATAAGATTAGCCGGGCAATACGGCCGGAAAGAAAAAAAAATTAAAAAGATACCAGTAAAAAAAAAAAGAAGAAAGAAAGAAAACCCGCTCAAACGCCCAAAAAGACGTCAAAAAAGCCGAAGCCTAAACCTTTCCTTGGAGACTAAAAATAACCGGGCTCGCCCGGGAATTGAACCCGGGACCTCTCGCACCCTAAGCGAGAATCATGCCACTAGACCAGCGAGCCAGATGTGTCAAGTTCACGTACCAGCCGGTTCTTCAAGTTGGAAAGCTGATTGGACACACTTGACCGCCACAGCTGAAAAGGCAAGGAAAAGTTTGTCATAAGATATTTACTTCATAAAAAGGATAGAAAGAATACTCAAATGTATGTTACTATGTATTCACTTACATTATACTAGTCTGATGATGCCGCATTTAAAGTAAAGAATTATGCATGCTGTGCTGACCGTGCGCTAACCCTGGACCCTGACCGCGGCGCGACGGGGGGTCTCTCTGTCCCACATACTTAGCCTCTACCAGGCTTCGCGGGAGGCGACTGGAAAGAGTAGAAATTGGCCGAATAGAGAGAGAGAACATGCCGAGGGAGTTGGTGCGGTAAACTGTACTCTCTAGTTATAGCGGATCAACTCCCCTGGCATGATATCTCTCTATTTGGCCAATATCTACTCTTTACAGCCGCCTCCCGAAGCCTGGTAGAGGCTATCACAATTATGCATACCCACTCTTCAAGCAGAAGTAGCCATGGTTACTCTTGAATCGCCCAGTGAGCGCTCTGCATAAGACTACATAGACCTAGCCTCTACCAGGCTTCGGGAGGCGGCTAGCTCTCTATTTGGCCAATTTTTACTCTTTCCAATCGCCTCCTGAAGCCTGGTACTAGGCTAAAGACTACCAGAAAAAATGCCCGAATCAAGAGTCACCATGGGTCAACTATTTCAGAATACTCGGAGCTCTCACACACAGACACACACACACACGCGCACACACACGCGCACACACACGCGCACACACACACGCGCACACACACGCACTCACACGTACCTCCACAGGTTCCCTCCTCTCCATGTGCCACTGCTCCACCAGCGACCACTGCTCGGGCAGCACGGTGGGCTCCATCCCCGCCCCGTACCCGCTCACCACCCCCGGGTCTAACCCTACCCCCAGGTCTAACCCTACCCCCGGGGTCTAACCCTACCCCCGGGGTCTAACCCTACCCCCACGGGGTACGCACCTCCACGGGTTCCCTCCTCTCCATGTGCCACTGCTCCACCAGTGACCACTGTTCGGGCAGCACGGTGGGCTCCATCCCCGCCCCGTACCCGCTCACGGCCGCCGAGAGTCGCGCGTTCGCCCCGGCACTGGGCTCCAGGTTTGCCGAGCGCGTGCTGACATTCCTGCTCGCCATGCTCTCAGCCGTTTTTTTGTTTTGATTAACAAAGCAACCGTGAAATTACATAATAAAGAGACAATAAGGTGTTTGTGCCCTGTTATGAATAGGTTCTTTATTATGTTTCTAATCAGAAGTACTGACAGACACTTTACATTGATAGTGGAAACAATAATTGTTGCGTCATAGAGAGTTTCGCCGGCAAAACGAATGACGGCTTTTCTTGTGTTTTTAGGTGTTCTTTAGAATGTTTAGTAGTACCATGGAGGTAGAAGTCTCTTTTTCTAACTCCATGGTAGTACTGACGTTCCTGCTTGCCATGCTCTCACCTACAAATCCTGATTTTCTTAACAATTATGTAACGTATTAAGAGACAATAAGTTGTTTATGCCGTAACCAAATAGGTTCTTTATTATGTTGGCTAATGACAACACCTTAGATTGTTGCGTCACAGAAACAAGTTTCAGAAAGGCAGGACGGTTTCTTTGTGTTTTTAGTAGTGTTCTTCATAACAAAGAGACAACAAGGTGTTTATGCCCTGTAACAAATAGGTTCTTTATTACATTATCTTATGACAACACTTTAGATTGTTGCGTCATAGAAACAAGTTTCAGAAAGGCTTGACGGATTTCCTTGTTTTTTAGAATGTTAAGTACTTTTATGACGAATAAATGTCGCTTAACTATTATGTGATGTAATAAAGAGACAGTTAGGTGTTTATCTCTGTTATAAACACTAGTAGGTTCTTTGTTATGTTTTCCAATGACAACGACACTTTAGATTATTGCGTCATAGAAACGAGTTTCAGAAAGGCATTACGGTTTTCCTTGTGTTTCATGTCGTGTTCTTTATTATGTTTACAGTTCAGAACTTTTAGGACGAATGAATGCCACCATTCAAATCCTTTGTTACGATTTCAATTTTAACATACAGAAGTCGATCGACATTTCAAAGTGCTCTGTGACATCAGGCCCTGTTCTGGAACGGATGTTTACTAGAAATATAAGCGTGGAAGTTTACATACAGGTTTTATGATTCTTATACCCCCACCCCAAAAAGAAACTCCCGCTGCCCCGCTAGAAGCCTTAAAAGGATGCAAAGATTCCTCACACATCCAGAAGACCGCACCAGGTGAAGATTCAATGAAACGCAGAGCTATATTTAGCTCAGGATGAAACAGGATGAATACAAAACCGCGGGAAGAGCCTTGGGTTCTGTACGGCTCTCCGGGAGGGCGCAGTTAGTCTGACGTCATCACCCCAGGCGGGCCTGTCCTTGGTGCTGAACGCGGCAATCCCTAAGCAACAATTCACCGTACGCGCGGTTTAATCGACTCAAAACCGCACCTGTCTAGTTCTATGCTTGAATGGGTTAGGGTTAGGATTAGGCTCGGTTCTGGATAGAGTGGGCCTGTCCTTGGTGCTGAACGCGGCAATCCCTAAACAATTAACTCACCGGTACGCGCGCTTTAATCGATCCAGAACTGGGCCTATCTAGTTCTATGCCTGAAAGTGTTAGGGTTAGGATCAGGCATGGTTCTGGATAGTCTCTGTGTATCAAGAACGTAGATTTTCCCTTCGCGCCAGGTTTTCTTCTAGTTCTAGCTCAATCTCAATCATAGGACCTGGTGTAATTTACCTAATCTAATACAGGCTAATATGTCGTGAAAGAAGTCCGCATACATTGTAAGTGCTGTTTGAGATTTAGCAGGGCAGGACAAGCCCTTAAAAGTCTTTGAAACCAAGATATTGTAGGGAGAACATCGCTATAATAGTCCGCCATCTTCAATTTGTCACCAAATTAGTAAGGATCGTATGTATTCCGCGTAATGGATCGTATGTATTCCGTAAACTTCGTATGTTTCTAGTAAGGATCGTATGTATTCCGTAAACTTCGTATGTTCCCTAGTAAGGATCGGATAAATTCCGTAAAATTCTGATAAATTCTTTGGCACCCCTGAGTATTGTAACAAATAGTACAAACACACTTGTAGCTAAATGGCTACTTCAGTATGCATATGCTAAAGGTTAAAGTATTGCAGAAAGTAACTTTCATTCCTTACTCAAAGTCGGCTTTTAGTTTTCAGTTTGATTTTGTGTCTTCGATTTGTTTCTATCTCTTTAATTCTGTCTTTCTATCAGAGACTTGTTCTATCTGAACGGGCTCTCCGTTTGTCCAAGGAAGTTTGTAGGAAATAGTGGAGTTGTGTGGCGAAACGTCAGAGCATTCGGCTCAGAACCAATCCTGCAAGGTAACCGACCTTGTGCCATTGGGAAGGGCACTTTACATCGTCTCCTTTACTTCGCTCAGGTGAAAATGAGTATGCCAGAATGATCATTATCACGATCGTGGGCATTAAAGGAAAACCAAATAAAGACAGCAAGTGTATCAGATCCTACCAGACGAATCTTATGCAGCACATACAGGTTTAACAGCGCATTCTGCCTTTCATATTGGTTCATAAAAACTCAAAAGATGTACGGTCACATCTCACGTGCTGTCCTGAGGGATATGGACAAGTCGTCATCTCTGAAAACTCCCAGTTTTATCGTCAGACCTGCAAATACAGCAGTATTCAGGCAAAGCGGATCTGAGGGTGCTGATTTATGTTAGAATCTGCGTCCTCAGTAGATAACGTTACATACCGGGGCTCAGATGGACCGCGTACCGGGCTTTTCTAGATTCACCAAAAAGCAGTTACTCAAGCAACTGGATATGATGTTGGAAACGGTCAGACGTTTCAGGTAGCAACCACTATAGACTGTAGTGTAGGAGAGATGAAAGTTTATAAGCACGAACTATTGATTGATGTGCAAATAAGTGAAGACTTTTTTTTGGGAAGTCCACTCACGAAAAATCACTGACGAAAGGTAGTGATACCTACCTGAAACATCTGACCGTTTCCAAAATCATATCCAGTTGCTTGAGGAACTGCTTTTTGACGTATTTTATCACCTGGATGTCTGACCGTCACCGACGCTTTCTAGATTTACTCTCCATTAAGTTTTCATCTTCCTTTGAGGAAAGATTCTCATACAAACAGACGGATCTGACAGTGTGAAATACACAGTTGAGGTGTTCTGAAGAGAAAAACAAGTTGTACCTTGATGCACAAGCTTTCGGACTGGACAAATAGAATTCCTAAGGTTTGGTGTGTTATGAACTTAGATATCTACTAAGTAAGTTATGTATCTATCAATGACTGCGGTGACCCTAGATCTGCTTGCTTATAACTATATATATATAGAATCCCACATTGATAGGCATACAGACTCAGAAATCATGCTTAGAAAGAGTTTTAATGAATTCTGTGAAGACTCAATTTCTGTATGGATTATTTGACTGGCCTTAATTGGTGTCCTATAAAAACATCCATACAGCAGTTAAGTAATTTGGACACGATGGTCAAGTTGCAACATGTGGACCGATGGTGTTTTAATTCTGCAAACGTTAAAGGCTAGACAGGAATATGTCACCAATGTTTTTCTTTGTGTGCAAAATTGTTGAAATGTCACAGGTCTGGAGCACACAATTTATCAAATGCTGTGTGCTTTTTAAGTACAAATGGGTTATAAGAAGGTAGCCTCTACCAGGCTTGAGGAGGCGGCTGGAAAGAGTAGAAATCGGCCAAAATAAAGAGATAAGCATGCCAAGGGAGTTTGGCCGTTGAGAGAACAGTTGTAGGGCGGCGAACTGTTCTCTCAACGGCCATACTCCCTTGGCATGCTTATCTCTTTATTTTGGCCGATTTCTACTCTTTCCAGCCGCCTCCTCAAGCCTGGTAGAGGCTAATAAGAAGGCACCAACATGTCTATGCTGACATCATTTCCACATACATACATACATACATACATACATACATACATACATACATACATACATACATACATAAAAACGTTGTAGATAGAGTTTTTGAAAGAATATACAACATACATTTGGTGATAAGTATATATAACAAAGCAACTGTAGAGTTTTTCACTATCTACAGATCAAGAGCAATGTACCGCAGGCAACCAAACCTTGGCCAAGTCTTCAATTACGTATACACTAGCAACAAATACAGGCTATACAGGTATTTACACACCATATAATCATCTACTAGTACAATGTATCTTTATCTACATGTAAGCTTTTCTCTTTAAATATACAGATTTCAATGCCAAGCTTAAAACATTTCATAGAAGTTATCTTTCATAATATAACGTTTGATAAAGATTTGGCACTTTTTTTAAATATTTACTACAGTGATTCTCAAATATTATGTCATGCATATAAAGGTTAACACTTGGTTCTTGACAATGTAAAACTGTTATATATGAAATGTAGCAAAGTCAGTAGATATGTTTGACATTAAAATGTCTTCAGAAAGTGTCAAATTCAAGTCATCTTTGGGACATCAAGTGTAACCAGGTAAGACAAAGTGTTCTCTTACAGGTGTTTAAAAATGTCTCACTGGTACACCTGTATATAAAAGACCAGGAAAAAAGAAAAAAGTATTTCCTGATAAAAGCACAATGCAATGGTACTGTGTATGATAAATAAGTACTGTATGATAACTATGGCCACTTTAAATCTTATATACAATGTACATTGAATTCCACTGTAGAGCTTGTTAATCTGTTTCCTTTTTTTTAAAACCATACTTTAAGGCTGCATCTGTATATGCTAGAACTGTCAGTTTATCATTTTTCCCAAATATGCACAAAAGCAAACCAAGACAAATTCTTTAATTGATATGTCAATTTAAGTTTTACAAATGTACTGTGTAAAATCCACACAGTTCAGTCTAAAGGACAGCACAGCTGATTGCACAACAAAGTTTGAACTCATTTCATCTCACTTGTAACAAGAACTGAAGACCATACTTTAAACCATCACCAGTACCACACACAAAACTCTCTCCCTTTTCCAGCTCCAAATTTCTGGAGTCCAACCATCTTCCATGTTCTGAAGACAGACACAAACACAACTGTCCTCTTTGGCTTTCCTTCTCAGACAATAAAATCTTCCTGTAGAATTCCACTCATAGTCTTCATACCAACACTCTACTGTCAACTAGAGATTTCAAATATCAAACCTGGCTAATTCTCTCAGCAAAGACACCACATATAAGCCAGATTTAAGTTTTCCTTGAAGTTCCCATCTCATCCTCTTGTTCAGTTTTTACCTTTAAGCTGTGTGCGAACTGATAAAATGTCTTGGTGCTGCCCGATCAGCCTGATTCAAGTTTTTCTTGAACTTCCCATCTTGTGCTCTTGTTCAGTTTTAAACCTTAGCTGTGTGAAAACTGAGGAACTGTCTTGGTGCGACCCGAGTCTCTCGCTTCAGTCGAAGTCGTGCAGGTACGGCGTGGAGAAAAACCTGTCTAACCTGTCATTCACACTCCCCTCTCCACCATCCACACAGCCCTGGAGGGAAGGAAGGAAGGAATAAATGAATGAGTGAATGGATGAGTGAGTGAATTAATGAATGAGTGAATGAATGAATGAATGAGTGAAGGAATGAGTGAATGAATGAATGAATGAGTGAATGAGTAAATGAGTGAATGAATGAATGAATGAATGAATGAATGAATAATTTGATGATTATGATCAGCTATTGAAAGTACCTAGCAGCTTATGACATTCACAGTCAAACATTACTCACAGAGCTAACTTGTACATTGTGGGAATTTCCAGTAGCATGGTCAATTTGTGAGTAACAATAGATAAAAAGTAACTGTTACAATGCTCTATGATATACATGTATGTTAGAATTTATTTACCTTCCCCCCACTGGTGAGCTGCCTCCCCAGCCAAACCTCCACCTTGTGTAGCCACGTCTCCAGCAGATCTGGGGGGAAACACAGATACAATACTGTCAATAGGTCACAATTTGGAGAAAAACAGTTATGACTCGCGTAAATCTTAAATACAGACTGCAGTCACTTCTCCAGCAGATCTGGAGGCAAAAACACAAAGATTCAGACACATACAACAGTTACAACATAAAGGGGAACAGAACACCAAAAAAGTGTGAAGAAAACTGGTTGTCAGATCTTCTGTGGTGTCAAAGAGAGAGTTACAACTTTGAAACAGATGACTGCTGTACGATTTGTAAATTTTTATTTTTTTATTTATTAATCTTGAGGGTCGCCCCTTTAGTTGATAAACAACTGATTTCTTTATCAACTGATTTCCAAGGGGGCCCTGGCTCCACATCCAACAGATGAATCAACAAAACGTTACAATTGTACAACATAAATCTAGAAATACATGCAGTATTGTTAAGTTTGCAGTAACTTCTCCTGCAGATCTGTTGCAAAAAACAAACAAACAACAGATTGTTTAGAGTTCAGTGAACCCTAAAGTGCTTTAGAGTTCATTGAACCTACCAGTGATTTAGAGTTCATCGACCTCTCAGGTGATTTAGAGTTCAGTGACCCCTCAGGTGATTGTGACCCTTCTCTATTAGGTTAAGTGCTTGACAGTTACCATGGAGACATGCCTAAAAGCACTCCAACAGGCCGAGGCTGAGCTTAATATGACAATAAAGGGATGACTGAGTTTCCATTAGCAGGGTCTTACTGACAGATGCTGAGGTGAAAACACTTTAATTTGTTTGTTTGTTTGTTTGTTTGAGCCTTTATTTCAACTCGATCTGTAACAGTGTTACATGCTCTAATCGGCCGCTATTTCGGCCGCTTTTCATAGAGGTCGAGCGTGGAGGAGTGTCAGGGGGTCATAACATAAATACTACTTGCTCACAAATGAAAACAAAGTAATATTTTTTATACATAAGGTAACTCACACAAAGTAAATAAATAAACATTTGTTGGTTCTCAGATGTTTTCTGACAGCTGCTGCTGTTGCTATGACGTCCCCATGACGACAGTGTTGTTTGTTTTGGAGCAGGCTTTCATCTTCCACACATGACTCACTGGGCTGTCGTCATGTGGCAATTTGTGTTACCATGGTTACATGAGGTGTGAATGACTCCTCAGACCTGACGCCTTCTTCCTTTTCAAAATGGACTGAAACAGGGCTGGTATTCAGCTTTAATTCAGCACGTCACATTTTGTCAATGTAAGAAATTTGTTTATGTCTTGTGGCTGTAAACTTTTATGTATCCAGGGGCACATGAAAAAAGTGTCACAGACCTCAGTGTGATCTATTAGTAAAATATAAAATGAATTAAATGTTTCTTATGGACTGGAAATGGGGCCTCTTCCTGCAGAATACGTTTGTACATGTTGATGCCTGACACCACTGGGCTTCCCTGGTTCTCAAACATTTCCAAGCAGAAAGAATTCAGTCCACTGATGACAATCTTTCTAACCCTGAGAACCAACAAGCTAACTTGGATTGGCCTGACTGCTGAGCATCTCCCAGCTCCAAGACTCAGACAGGGACTGTGATCAGTTTTGATCAGTGAAGAAGAGAACAGATCAGGAGAGATGAGAGAATAACAGATCACGACCACACATGTCAGGCCGCCTTCGTTATTTCTACATCAACTAACCCTGGGGGAAAACCTGCACATGCTGGCGGAATAGAGAAGTAACTCTGTAAGTCATGACGATGTCAGCTCATCTTCTGACTGAAATGCCTTCAAGAAATTAGACAAGAAGTGTCCAGTATGAATATATAATCCAATATCCAATTTTAAAGCTTGGTCAGATACATAGTGGAATGTACATACTTGTACCTGGTATTGCCTCTATAGACCAGCGTTAACCATGGATAAAAACATGCCGCTGGAATAGAGAAGTAAGTCATCATGAAGCTGGCTCATCTTCTGACTGAAATGCCTTCAAGACATTAGATACGAAGTTTCCAGTGTATGTGTGTGTGTATCCAATTATAAGGCTTGGCCAGGTACTTTGTGGACTGCACATGTGGTTTCCATAGATCAGTGGGTAAAACCTTGTTTATTCTACTGGTACAATAACAGTCTATGCCACACATTAGTCACACCCGTAGACTGGCTTTATGGTATAAGGCTGATATGGTACTAACGTGTTTGTCAAGTATGTAGACTTCCGTGCTATACATGCAGGCTAGGAACTCAGCAATAGGCATAGACAAGCTTTCATTTGTAGAAGAAAGATTAGCAAATACACTGGATAGAAGAGGATGGACATTCATCTAGTTACTGTCTGTCCAACAAAGAGTAGGATGTAGAAATTAGCATATATACAGGTTAGATCTGCAGCCAGGATTATGAACTGCGGCGGCTGCAGAGACACGAAGTCTGTAGCTTCAGACGCTGCAGAATCTTCACAGGCAGGGCTCGGGCTGCAACAGGTTAATATCACGGTTCTTGGACGTAAAACAAAATGCTGCAAACTGGAAAATATCCAAGTCTGAGGGGAAAGTCTGTATCTTGGTACACTCTGAAATTCATGCATTCCATCTGGTTCTTTGGGAGCCTGCTGCTGAGGGAAAAAAAGGTAGGGGTAGGGGAGTCCCAGAGTCACCTACTTAGACAATACGATGTGACACTGACCTACTTGATACCAACAAATTGCAAAGGGCCATGGAAGACCAAGTGTTATGGAAGGGATTTTCTGGATTGGCTCGAGCTAAGTAAGTAAGTAAGTACATGTAATTGGTACATACAGTCTCTGGGAGTAGAAACAGATTCAATTTTTCCCTCAGCCCTTTGTTATCCTCTCTTAGTCACTCTTTCATCTCTTAGACACCTCTTAGTAACTGAAGATAAGTACTCATTTTCACCTGAGTGAAGTAAAGTGGGGGGAAATAGGTGTAAAGTGTCTTTCCCAGGGCCACAACATTGGGGTCTGCTAGGGATTCGAACCCAGAACCTTCAGATTCTGAATCAACAACTTAAACAAGACCATCTTGCCACTTGAACATCCTCTCCCAACAACCACAAATCACCTTCAGCCTGCTAATGTAGCCATTAGGTACCAAATCTGTAGTGTTTATGGGGTTAGGCAGCAGGGAGATGGTTAACCTTTCCCAGCTAAAGGCCTACAGACAGCTGAAATCACAGTCACCATCCGTTCAGCACCGAGGACAGGCCCGGCACAAATCTGCAGAAATGTCAGCCTGACCTCCTTACAGCCTCCCTCATGGATCACAGGTGACCCCGCAAACCTTAAGGAGCACTCAGGTGTCTTCAGGTGTGTGCTGGGACTGCTAAGGAGGAGGGAAGCCACCTTTGCTCAGGGTTATTGACAGGGCTCTAGCCAGCTTGAAATTTTTTCCGTCAGCCCATAGTCATGATTGGACATGTGGGGAGAGTACTTGCAATCTAGGGGGGTCCAGTGGGAAATTTTGGATTCTTAAAACTTTAAAACAAAATTTCTCACATTTGGAGAAGCAAATCATGGGTTTGAGAGTGGTTGTTGGTGGTTCATTGGATAATATAATTTTTCCTAAGATTTTTGTCAATGTTGTCTGTCAAGGTTGACAGGTTGGTTTCCTTCAAGAATTTGACAGGTAGCAAAAACAATATGTTTCCCACTCACCGTCTGAGACATTTGGCGACTTGAGCACGGAGACCATCATGGCAGCGATTGCGAGGAAGAACAGTTGAATCCTGAGGACTGACGTACCCCAAACAAACAAACAAACAAAAACAAACTCACCGTCTGAGACGCTCGGCAACTTGAGCACAGAGACCGTCTGAGAGGTGTGAGTAGATCAGACCTTACAGTCTGGTCTTGCATAGCTTGTTCTTACTGTACAAAATGGTGTGTTTGTCAGTTATTTCAAACAAACAAACAAACAAACAAACAAACAGAAACAAACTTACCATCTGAGACATTTGGCGACTTAAGCACGGACACCATCATTGCGGCGATCGCGAGGAAGAACAACTGAATCCTGACGACCGACGTTCCCGGTGTGAGCCTCACCGTGCGCCAGATGATCTTGATCATGTCCAGAAACGTGCTCTCCACCGTCGCGGCGCTCCCCAGGCTCGCAAACTTCTGCACAAGTTTGACGCCGTCCGGACTGGCCGCAGTCTTGGGCAGCTCCGAGTGCACGTGGGCGAAGGTTTGCTGGGCATCGTCCTTGTCTTCAAAGTCTGTTTTAGCAAAAACCCTGTCCAGTAGCTTAGCTGCCTCTTCTGTAAAACAAGAAGAAAAAAACATGAAAAAATTTGCTTCATTCCTATGTCCCCTTCATTTCTGTGATGCTTAAGCAGCAGCCTTTTTGTAGTTGCTTGGACAGAATCTGTGCGTTGGCATTGTCTTTTGAAGTCTGTTGCTCTGGGAGAAGGGAAGGAAAAAACATATTATGAGAAATTTGCTTCATTCTTATGTCTGAGGTTCTCAAACTTCTGCACAAGTTTCATCCCGTCCGCGCTTGCAGCAGTCTTGGGCAGCTCCGAGCGCACGTGGGCGAAGGTTTGCTGGGCATCGTCCTGGTCTTCAAAGTCTGTTTTAGCAAACACCCAGTCCAACAGTTTGGCAGCCTCTTCTGGAAGAAAGGAAGGAAGAAAAATATGCTGTGAGAAATTTGCTTCATTCTTGTGGCCCTTTCATTTCTGTGACACTAGCTGCAGCCCTTTTTTATTTAGTTATTTGCACAGAATCTGTGTGTTGTCCTTGTCTTGGAAGCCTGTTGCTCTGGGAGAGGGAAAGGAAAAAACATGTGAGAAAATTTGCTTCATTCGATTCCCATGTTCCTTTCATTTCTGTGGCACTTGCAACCCTTTCATAGTTGGAGCATGAATCTGTCAGTCCAGTACCTTTTTACTTTATCTTTGTCTTCACCCTGTCTAGCCTTCTCTATAAGTAGCTAAAAAACGTGTTGTGAGAAAATTGCCTTTATTCCAGTATCCCTGTGGTGCAGCATGACCTGGTTTGCTCAGCTGAAGACCTAACCAGTAGCAAAGCCAGATTACCCTTTCAGCTATCAAAAAATCATTACACTTGATATAATATAATGGTACTTCAGACTGGAGTGTAGACATCAGTAACATGGGTCTGGGACACGAGCCAAAATTCTGGTGATACATGTCTGGGGTTTGTCTGTGTTGGAGGGGGCATAAATATAGGTTGATAAAAACTTGAGTTTGCTGTCGCCATGTCTTGTAATAAAAGTTGGAATAGGAAAAAAAAATCATGTCTAGAACAGCACAACATTAAACATCATATCTCAGCCGAGCTAGCAACATTAGTAGTGCAGCTACATGTATTATTTATCCCTTGTCCTGCTGGCATTCCTAGCACAATATTTTTCAATAATTTCATGTCTTAATTAGATCATACATGTAGACCCCCAAATTTTTTTGCCCTGCAGTGGCATAGTTACTTCCGCATTCGCTGCGTTTCGCTGCGGTGTGAAGCGTTGCACGAGAAATACCTCCAAATCGTACCTATACAGGGTGTTATATAGATGGTACTGTATGTGCCAAGCGACATATGTTGCGCACAGCAGGACAAAGGGTAAACCTTGGAAATACATGTAAAACAAATTAACGGTAGGACCAGTTTATAACAAAACTGATGATCTTAGATATAAAGTACATGTACAAACATTTACAGAAACCACGAGTGACGTTTGGTTACATGTACGGAGAAAAGAAAATATTCCACATTCATTCTATGTAGATACACTTACATTCAAGGGCATAGGTATGTCTAGACATGTGGGACACCAGCCAAAACTTGAACTAGACTAAGTGTAGAAGGAACATGGAATAACTCACTAATTAGCCATGTAGCTTATATGGCTAAGAAAATCCAGACGGTAATAAAGCCATCCTCTTATAGTACTATTAGTCTTAAGTCATTTGTCATTGCACAGTGAACCAGTCATAATTGCCCTGAAGAAGATGACAGACGTCAGCTCTTGTTAAACAAGTGGTTGTGAATATAGAACGTTGCTATTCACTGTTGAATTAGTTACGATTGGAATACCAGCTTAAGATAATCATTAAAAAACATTTCACTTCCAAGAACACAGCTTCACAGAGTAGGAAATCAGTATGCGATTTAATGAATGTTTCAAGGCACTGAGATTATTGTCTACATAAATTCTATGTTGAGGTACTTAGACAAGCCTGCGCACACATTATAATTGGGCATCCTGCCAAAACGTGAACTCATGTCGCAGTAACGTCTCCATAGCCGTGTCATTAACCACACTTATGTTCTTACAGCCCTGCTGAGAGGGGAATAAAATCTGCCTGTTGGAAAGGTTGTCGTCACATTTGTCAAACCAGAGCACATCTATTTCATTGTGTTATTCAATTCTTAACATCCAGCCACGGCCCTTCAAACTAGCATGATAAAAGCCATGCAGACATCACAGGATGAGCCACAAATCACTGCTGGGCTCTAAATACCGACATTCTGCATTTTACAATACGTAGTTAATTATACGGAACCTGTATAATTCATGTAGCTTGCAGACTTGTCAATTTTTTAAATATTTTTTCTACAATATTAAAAAAGCTTTTCTCTGCAAACTGTAGGTTCTTAAAAATTCTGAAATTTGCTGTTTATTTAATTCAAATTACTTATGTGCATTGTTGTTTAAGCCACAGGATGAGAGAGATTGTTTATTTGCACATGAAAAATTACAATAACTTAAGAAGCAAAAGAAGGTATACATATGATACAAACTGTGCAAGGGAGGCCAAAACCTTGTAGTTTACTACTGTCTCACCTGCATTTTAACCATTGCCCCACATTACCCATTAGCCATAAACCAGGTGGAACCTCCATTACATGGTCGGCAGGTTTGACTTCGTGCCAAACTAACATGAAAGGTCTTGAGTCCCACAAGTAAATTGTTACTCAAGCAGCTGGATGGATTTTGAAAACTGTCAGACGTTTCAAGTAGCATCCACTACTTTTTGTCAGTGAATCTGTAGTTGAACGTATAGGTATTCATCCCAAATAAAACTACTGATACGTCAGTGATATGAAGAAATGAATAAATTATTCTGTGTATGTCATTATTACTGGATGTCTAACAATCATTGACATATTATGAGTCCCATTTTGTAATGTCAATATAGGAAAAGAGGAGTCCTGCTGTGTTGTTTGTGCAAAAGATGCATGGTCACGACTCTACTTAATTCCATAATATTCCTCGACATAGGAAAGGGATGCAACACTTGTCTCTATCAGACTTCGTATTACCTCTGTACTGAAAGATTTAAGGGTTATAACCCATTCTAAGTCACAGATTGATGTTTCAATCTATTTTGAGTCAAAACTAAAATGCCTCAAAACATGCAGATATTACTGAGAACTGCGGGATCCATCAATATACAGAACTGTTTTGTCAAAGAAGATTGGATATCCAGCCAATAAGATACACAGTCAAGGAAATTGTTATTCAAGCAACTGGATAGATTTTCAAAACTGTTAATTAGCATCCACTTCTTTTCATCAGTGACTGAACTGTCTGACAGTCTACAAAATCTGTTGCTTGGGTGAAAATTTCCTTGTGAATTGTTGTTTGTGGTGCATGAAAACATTGGGTGGATGTCAGTGATATTTTCTACCCAGCTACAACATTTTAATTTCCCGTCCATCTGCACAGCTCTATTTTTAGCCACGGCTCCTCGGGGTAATTTTGCCAGTTCTGAAGCTCCCTTCTGCAGATCAGACAAACCAATCAGACGGACTAACCAGATTTTCCCGTCGTGTCTTAGGATCTGAGCAGTAGGTGGGAACGATGGCTTTGATACTGACAGATGAAAGCATGATGAACAAATGGTAGATGGAAAGTGCTGCTTGGACAGGACTCAAAACAGCTATATCCAGTGAAAATTTCCTTGTGAATTGTAGTTTGTGTTGCATGAAAAAAATGGATGGACATCTGACTCAGTACTATTTTCTACACAGGTACACTCAGGTACAACATTTTAATTTCCTCTAGATCTGCATGACTCTGTTTTTAGCCACAGTTCAGATGGACCAATCAGACAGACTAATCAGATTTGCTGAGGAGTGCCACTGGTTCTCAACAGTCAGTGGGAATGATGGCTTTGATATCGCCAGATAAAAGCGACTGAGGAACAGACTGCTAATTTGTAACCTGGCCTGAAAGGTGATGCTTGGACCAAGATATCTAATCTAGGAAGATGCACGTAATCTCAGAGATCTTCCCTTTAAGAGTCTCAGAGCTTTAATTTTGCTGTTTTAAACCTTTTCCTGTCACACAGCAAATGGGACTCAGGAATAGCAAAGTTCTTTATTTTATTCACAACCACTTGTTAAACACGAGCTGACGTTTCTATGACCGTCTGTATTTTAATTTTGCAATTATTGCTAACTTAATGTGCAGGTAGACAATTTTAGCTTCTACCTGTACATATATAATACATATATTTTAGCTCAGCTTGTAATCTTTTAATGAATATGTCTGAAATATTGATTTTAATAAACCTATTAATGTGTCAGATGTACCTTTCATCCAATGCGCGGAACACGTAATTCAGCCCTTGGGCTGACAAAACTTTTAATAAAACTCGTTATTATTAAATCATTCACCATGAAATCATTCACGGAGGCACATTCAGGGACTCCCAAATTCGTCTCTAGAAAATATCAGGCCCTACTTATATAAACCTGCTTTTCTGACAACTGACTCTAGTGTCACTGACGAAAGGTAGTGGATGCTACCCAATGAAATGTCTAACCATTTCCAAAATCATATCCAGTTGCTTGTCGATGAGTAACTCCTAACACTACTAACAGTTTATTTTGCATATCTTATTACCTGGATGTCTAACCTTCACCGACGTATTAGGCCCTATCATCCTCACAAGAAAAGGTCACCCTTATAGAAACACATTTTAGCCACTGTACTAGGACTGTGCGATGGTTTGCCCAGCCGTACTGAGCTCCTTATGATGTAGGTATGCGGTGGATATGGGAATAACTAAGGCCACACCAATTTAATTTGTTCCAGTTCTTGGATTTTTTCGGAAAAATATGAAGCAACAGGAAAAAAAAAAACAGGTCTAGGAATCTTACTATAGCCCAAAATGCTGAAAGGAGCCATGAAGTCAACACAAAAGACTGTTTTTTTAAACTTTGAAAAGTTTGAATCAAACCACTGCATTGATACTGATGGAAAACCTGTAACATCTAGGAAGAAAAAGCACTTTCCTCAACTGTTGGGAGGAAAATATGAGCCTATTTGAGTTGATTCAGAGGCTGAAATGTTTTTTTTTTTTTGCAAATCAGAAAAAATGAAGGGGTGATTCCGTGAACCAACAAATTGAATTGGTGTGGCCTAACGGAGGCATGCTGTGGATATGGGGATAACCAGTGAGTATATAAGTGCCACCCCAGGCTGGTATCCTAAAATAGCAGGTACGAATACGGCGTGATTCCCTCCAGCTTTGTTGTCGTTATACTGCACTCAGGCTTGTTACGTTCCCCCAAACATCAGGAATAGGGAGAAGAATTAGCCTCCGTAGCAGGCTTATAGAACTGGGGGTTTGGTGGTCTTCGGCTGTTTTCTGATTAGCCTCCGTAGCAGGCTTATAGAACTGGGGATTTGGTGGTCTTTGGCTGTTTTCTGATTAGCCTCCGTAGCAGGCTTATAGAAAAGCTTTATGATAGCTCATGTAGGCAAGAACATATACGTAAAGATTATCATCAATAATAATAATATTAAACAACACCACAGCAGCAGTAACCCTAACTTCACCTTTTCCCACCCCCCAATATTACAGGTTCAGCCTTCAAGTTATAAGACCCGTAATCTTGCCTTCACCATTTCCCTTGTCCCCAATACTACAGCTTTTGTGTTATAACATAGCACCACCCCTAATCCTTAACTTCACCATTCCCACCTCCGCAATATTACAGACACAGCCTTGTGTTATCATATAGTAGCTACGTTAAGCCTACATTCAGCATTTCCCACCTCTCCTATATTAAGTTCAGCCTCCTGCCTACAGGCAAACAGGCTGAGAAGTAATATCACATCTCTCACTGTCGCATAAAAACCATTTAGCTCCCTGACTGGCTCTGCTGTTAGCTCTGGGATGTGTATAAAACTGTAATGTAGCTTTGGACGTGTACGACGTAGCTCTAAGGTGTATGTGCTAAGTGTGCTGACAGCCATTCTGCAGACTATAGTGAGACTAACTGCAGTCAGTGCTTTTGTTGGTGAGCTTGTAATGCTGTATATGTTCTGGATGTGTGTAATAATGTAGTTTTGGATGTGTCAAAACACTAATATAACAAGATGAAAAAGAAAAAAAAGGATACACCTTCAAAATCAGACCTTTTATATGGACGGCAAATGAAGAACTTTCACTATAAACCCCTTTGATAGTATTTCAAGCAACAGGTTGTTATATCATAAGATAGTACTTATTCAAAAATAAGGATACTAGTACTTAACTTCCAAATTTCAAGCTGAAGGGCAAAACTTCCCACTCCCTAACGTGCAACAAGTCCTGGTAGTGAATAATATAACACATAGAATTTCTAGAAGCTCTAGTAACGGCCGCATCGCGCTGCTACCAGCCCGCCCCCAGCCCTGCCTGTACCGTACCTATCACACTGACTCTGCCCTTCCCGTCCGCACGTCTGGCCGGGCACTCCTCCGAGGTCCGCGGCGCCGGGTACTCCTCCGAGGTCTGCCTGGCCGCGCAGAGGTGCAGACAGGACGCCATCCTCAGCTTACGGAGGGGCTTCCTCATCCGTCCGGACTCACACAACACCAAACCGGTACTCTCTCTCCTCTCCTCTCAGTCAGCGCAGACTCCGAGCCGCTAGCTTTGCTCTTCCGCTTCTGCTGCCAAAACTGGGAGCGCTGATGATGTACGGTAACTATGGCAACGCGCAGAGAACTCGTCTGCACCTATAATGCCTAGCTGGTCAATAACTAGCTGTACTCATTTGCATGCTTGTGACTTCTTACATGCGGCCGCTACCGATCGGACTCTAAATTTTATAGAGGGGAGGGGGGCGAAAATAGGGTGGCGTGTCCCTAAGCCATAGGCCGAGTGGATTCAAACGCGTGTCAGCTACAGATAGGCACATGTCAGATTTGGCAGTGTGTGTGACGTGTTAACTACCCACCTTGTACGTCAGGCTGAGTCATGTTGACAGACGGATATGGAAGCTGTCACGTCATCACTGGTGCTGCCGGAGTCAGGAAATATCGATATGGGCGTCACGAAGGGACACACCCCCTCCATAAGGGTCATAGGTCATTGGGCTAGCTCATTCACAAACGGGGGAGGGCGTTTTTACTTGCTCTGTAAACATAATAGGGATGAAAACTGCCATCTCTTATTGCCTTGTGTATTTTAGTCAAGTAAGTCCCTTTCAAGTGCGTTAGTGTCTATCATTTTCTAATATGTAACCCTAAAGTGTAATTCAAAGTTTCATTGTGATATTTATATCACAAAATATCTTAATTTTGAAAGAAAATATACAAGACACATTTTTCCTGTTGTCAATAAAACATAACTTTTAATCAGTCTGTAAGTAGCTGTTGCCATAGTAACCATACATCATTATTATCAAACATGAAAGTTCAATAAAATACTGAGCAGGTTTGCTACATTCTAACCTGAGACTCATTCTTACTGTAGGAACTACTTTGTTCTTTTAGTTTTACACACAATATGTAACATAACATATAACATTAACACACAGCACTAAACTCCGTACATTTAAAATCTCAAAAATTAAGGAAAGCTGCCTTGAAAATGATCAACTAAACTGTTAAACATGTCCTTAAAAAACAGCTACTTTGAAGAATACAGAGCAGCATGAGTGTCCACCAGACTCCTTTTGCTGTTTTGGAAGATAGTTCAAATTGACCCAAAACCAGGTGAACAAGTTTCCAGGCTAGGGCCAACTAGCTGGCCTGTATAGGCCATACAGGCCAGCTAGTTGGCTCCAAGGCCTACAACCTAGTCTCGATAGCAGACTGCTTCCAGGGCCTTTCTCAAACTGGTAGCCATGGCTATTAGAACACCTTTGCCTTTGGCCAGCTTCAGTAATTTTCTCGAGTAGCCCAAGAAGCCTGGTGGAGACTATCACAGCAGCTTCTTGCCACAGGATTGCACTAAGGGCTGGTTTCTGTATAACTGAACTCTTAACTCTGGTTTATAAATTATAACATTCTAATATATCTTGGGAAAAAGTTAATTGCAAAATCCTTATGGTTACGTCACACCAATGTTGTACTTTTTCAGAAAACATGCAACAAGCAAATAAAATATAAAAAAATATACAGGTAAAACTAAACATTACAAACATAATACTGATATCAGCCCATATATGAGCTAAAGCCAGTCCAAATACAAAAACACTGGATGGAAATGACTTTGCAACAAGTTCATACCACAATGGCAACACTGCTGACAGTAAAGCTACTAGTAATACTGCTACATGTACATTAGTTTCAACTATTGAGTTACGTTATGAAATAAAAGAATACACTAATCTTATGTTGTAGCAATTTCCTAAAACTACAAATCTTTTATTGAGGACTCAAACACATGTACATGAATGCCCCAATTAATATTACACGCACTTAATGAGATGCTGAAACAATTAAAATTCTTAATAAATAGCTTCTCTCACTCACTGTATGATAAAAATAATCTAATAATCTAATTTGCAGAAAAGTCAATTACAAACAATCATATCATATTGGTAGTTTTAGCGTTAACAATTTCATGACATTGACCAGTCACTGATGACCTTGAGCCCAATGAACTTGAATGGCAGAAATGAGAAGTCATAAACTATCAGTCTGACCTTGACTGGGGAATCAATGATGGAGAGATGTGAAAATAACAAGTGATACACATTTGACACGTGTAACAAGCTACTGTGGCGTCATGATGTAGCGAAGGCTGTGTCAACATCATGTGACGATGACATCACTGTTCTCACATGGCTGACATGCCGGGACACTAAACTGACACATACCGGGTAGCTCCTCACCTTCACCTCTGACCCTGACATGTGACATTTGTCACGTTCTCTTCTAGGCTCTTCCAACATCACAGTAATACATACGCAAACATTTCAAATTTTTACATTTCATGGGTGAACGTCTCTACAATATCAGATAGAGTACAATTATGTTAACATCAAAGACTACTACTTGATCTGCCATGAAACAGTCAGTGAGAGTAAATAGATAGTAATTATATTTATATCTTCATTTTAGTCAGTTTAGTCTTTAGGTCCATATCAACAACTTTAACAAACTCCAGGTCTAGCTATCACAGTCATGTAGATAACAGTCATGATTCTGTACTTTCCTATTCAGTTACAAACATACTAAACTTCAGAAGCTACAGATTTACTAATACGTCTGTTGTACTGCAATGAAAGACAAATTTCAGAAAAGTTTGTATCTACATATCTCTAGCGTCATCTTTTCAATATAGTCTGGTGCAAGAGTCAGGTACATGATTCATTTTCCTACGTCAAAAAACACTTTTGGAAAAAGAGACATCCTAAAATCTACATTACTGGAAGATGGACTTCAGAAATGCTTTGGCTTCAAGTTCTGACAGAGATAGAGACAGCCTGTTACAAGATCCTTCGCCAAACAAAACTTACAACTACAAACTTTAAGCAAGAAGGATACTCACCATTGCTTAACCACCTGATAAATCTAGTTTAGATTATTTATAGCATAACCATCCCTTTTGCTATAGCTACAGTTGTCCCTAATCTCCAAGCAGATACTGGGGTGGAAAATTGAGACTTTCTCTGCTTGAAAGTTCATCTATCAGACAGTCGTTGGACAATATCATGTAGATTTTCCATCCTCACATCTTGGTCATCGTGGGGTGCCAGTGTCTCGTGAATGTTGCGTTAGAACCAAGACACCCGCGCAGAGTCCGTCGTAAATGTCGGGTAAATGTCCGACCACGGACCAGGCGTTCGCCTCCATATCGTAACCTTGGATCTCACTGCTGAACTTCCACGTGTTCCAGTTGATCCCGCCCAGGATGTAGATCCGGTCGCGGAACACGGCGATTCCCGCGCCGGTCTGCGGGGAGAGAACCGGCGCGAGGAACCGCCACGAGTCCGTCACGCGGTTGTACCGCTCCATGGTGGCCACGGCGCAACCGCCGATCACGTAGACGTCCCCGCGGACGGAGCACATGTTGTGTCCCGAGCGCGCGTCGTGCATCGGCTTCAGCTGCTCGCACCCCGTCTCAGGGTCGTACCGCACCATGTAGTCGTGGTAATGACCTTCGACCCGCCCGCCGGAGATGTAGACCTCGTCCTCGCACACGCACGCCGCGTGGCCGTAAACCTCAACCTCCAGAGGCTTCACCTGCAGTGGAAAATAGTAACATAAAAAATGTGTATGTGAAAGAGAAATTTTATTATGTATTGATTATATTATTGATGAAACAATAGCGATTGGACATTAAAATCTGTGTTAAGATTCAGTGTTAGAAATACCCATGTGCAGTCTGTATGTTGAAGACATCGACAAAGACAATACTAGATAGAGAGAAAGACAAATTGAGCAATTAGGCTAGGGGTTTGTTTACTAAATCTATAATATACAAGTAAGTTTGTATATCATATCTATAATATACAAGTAAGTAAGGACTTTTAGGTGTGTATTTGCAGAAAGTATTTTTTCCGAATTGCAGAACAAAATTTTGACATTCCGCAGTATTGCAGAATACTGCAAAAAAAGTATTTGTACCACTGACCTGCGTCCAGGTGTTCAGTTCCGGGCTGTACTCCTCGACAGAAGAGAGAATATCTGCCCCGAGCTTCCCTGCGATCGCGTACAGCCGACCACGGCGCGCCACCAGCTGGAAATAGTACCTGTAAATGGTTGAAGAGATTCATTTGTCACGTGTACATCACAGTCTGTAGAATATTCCTCAATCAGTGATGTTTTTATAAAGGTAAAAACACATATCTCCAAATTTTTTATGTCTACTGCACATCTTAATTTGGTCTTGACCTAGTCTCGCAAGACTAGGTCACTCCGTGATCAAGATGTACTATAGACATTGAAAATTTGGAGGTATGTCTTTTTGCCTTTATAAAACTGGTGTGTTACGCCGAAAGGCGGTTATACCGGCTATACAGATACAGATACAGAAAACGTCACTGATTGATAAATATTCTACTAACTGTACCTAAAGCGTATTCACAGTATGACACAATGTATTCCTTTTAAATGTATATGTGCATTAATGCACTAATCCTGACTAGCACATGCTTTCACTCATTCCTACCTGGCCTCCTGCATGGGTGCGATGGGGACCCAGGCGTCAAACCTCGGATCGTACCGGAACCCGGACGCCAGGTGTGTCCCGGGGAGCGTCCCGCCGACCACATACAGGTAGTTATCCATGATGGCGGCGCAGTGGTACTTCCTGGGCGGGCTGGGCATCGGGCGGAGGTTCCGCCAGCGCGAGGAAGCCGACACCAGGCCGCCATGACAGAACATGAGCTCCCGGCTGATGGCCTGGTCCGTTTCCCCGCCGATCACGATCACAGCGTCATCAGTCGCTCGCACCTGGGGGGGAGAGGGAGAGGGAAAACCAGCTAATGTTTACTTGTTTATGATTTGTTTATGATTCCACTCAGAAAGTACAACATTGCAGCCCAAGAGAGAAAGCGTGAGTGTGTGTGTGTGTGGTGTGCGTGTGTGTAAGAGAGGGAGAAAGTACAACAGTGCAGCCAAAGGGCCGAATCGAAGTATACTCTACAATTATATAAAATTCAAAAGTAAAAACGTATCATAATATTCACACTCAAAAGAACATCTTATACTGGTTTCAATGTTCACAAATGACATTGTGTTCGGGATTTGTATGCAGTATGGTAATGTGGTGGTGAAGATCTGAATGTGGTAGTGAAGATCATATGGCTGGCTGTGTTAGTTTCTAAGCTTTCTGCTGAGTGTTTGCCCTGGCTTGGAGGTAGACAAGTGAGTGTCATGGACTCGCGTCACAGACTCGAATAGTGATTTGGCAAACTCCATACCTGAGTCTGTGGAGACTGTAGGGAGTTCTGCCTGTAGGGGAAAGCCTTGTAGGTGAAGGACTCCACCAGCAGAGCGTGACACTTTGGATCCATCATCATGAAACCAACCTGGGGTGGGAAAAAACATGGTTCATTAAGTTCCAAAGTGCATCTTAGAAGTGGGTAATACCCCAATTTTCAATTTTTCTAATGTTCAACTCCTGTGTTTCTCAAGCAATGAGCAAGAATGACGCAGTGGATTGTTCATTCTCTGACAAAGACTGAAATGATGAAAAAACAAGACATCAAAGTTAAATGAGGCTACCCAGATGTAGATGTAGTCATTTGCAGAAATTTGCAGTCCTTGACTTGATGTGTAAAGTTATTGCGCAAGTTGAATGAGATTTCCAATAGTCTAAAAATTTGATAATTTAAATGAAATCCCACCTCCTGCACATTGTCCATGATGTCCCTGTCAGACATGAGAGGGAAGCGCACACACTGCATCACCGTGCAGGCGTCCGGAACCCGAGCCTCGCGATCCGCCTCAATCCACTTCAGCGCAAACCTAAGGATGATGTACTGGTTTATTTATTATACAAGAACGAATGTAAAGTAGACAAACTATGTAATTATATTTCCAAATGTTTCAAAAAGAGAGAAGAAAGGGCAACTAACAGTAGATGATAGGTAGTTTATAGTATTATTGTAATGTATAGATTCCAAGCACTTTACATTAGAATTTAGCGTACCAGTATGAAATACTCATGTTTTACATACTGGATATCCTCTTGTGCATGTTCTTGCCCATCTGGGCAAGAACATGCAATAAAGATTCGTATCATATCATATCATTATATACAACACACATACCATTGCAGCCTTACATTGCTGAATTGGGGCATGATACACATTAAAATTAATCAAGAATGGTTCAGCAACCTGACAATAAAAGGCTACAGTGTCTCATGTACAAAGGTGTAAGAAGGGCTCGAAATTAAAGGTGGTCCAATGGCCACTGACCACTAAAAGTTAGGCTGGGACAGCAAAAAAAGACACTTTTGGGATATTTTTGGGACAATAAAAAAATAATCAACATCAGAATGTCAGCCCTTTTTCATCAGGAAAACGTCACGGCTTTTGGATCCGGAAAAGTCACCCCCAATGTCCTCTCTACACGGCAATTATAGTGTGCCTAGCAGTGAACAGAAGCAAAATTAAGTTAAGTTGAAGGCATACAATATTTCCCCCAAAACAGGTTGGGACAGTTCATCCTGACTTTGGGACAATTGAAATTTATTTTTGGGACAGTGCTGGGACAATAGGAAGAAAAGTTAATTTCGAGGCCTGTGTAAGTGATAGTAGCTCTGTCAAACCTGAACACCTCCAGCTCGGTCGCTCGTATGGAGTTCCTCTCCAGGTAACCAATCAGCTCCTTCTGAGTCAGAGTCTCAAACTTCTCCGTCTCCGAGAAGGTGTGGAAGTTTCTCACGATGAAGTCGTCTGCGAATTCCTTCAGTTCCGTAACGCCGTAGCTCTGAGCGGCGTGGGTGATGTCCAAACAGTTCTCCACCGTGATGGAGTCCTTGTAGTACGTACAGCACAGCTCCAGAACTGTGGGGATCTGTTGGTAAAAAAAATTGCCTTCACTTTTTCGCATATAGATGAACAGTTCGTGTTTATAAACCTGCCTTTCTCCTCTGGTCTCTTAGTGTCCCTGACGAAAGGTAGTGGATGCTACCTGAAACGTCTATTTCCAAAATCATATCCAGTTGCCTGAGTAACATGCTTTTTGGCATATCTTATTAGTACTACCTGGATGTCTAACCTTCATCGACGTATCTGTTGGTAATTCATTATTTTATTGTATATTGAAGATCTAACAGTACATTACTATGACTTTCAGGAAGCCAATCTTTTTACGACGATCAACACATAGTACAAAATATGCATCTTACATAAAACACTTACTAACAGAGCATACTTATATATATTAATATATGATAATGATATATTCCAGTCACATACTGAAAACACAGTGAACAGATTACACCTCATCAGTTAATGAAAACACTAGTAAATGTAAATGACAATTCCAGGTAAAAACTGTCGTTCGAACTTCATATTGCGGAGAAAGCATATTTTGTGAACAGATAGAAGGACCTGTAAGTAAGCTGCCACGTTGATGATGTCTCCGATGTTCTGGGGACTGAGTCCGATCTGGCCACTGTAGATGAAGTCTATACAGGCCTCCAGGGCAGATGCCTGCATACAAACAATGTACAACGGTTCATTATTTCACAATTACAAGTACAAGTACAAGTAAAAAATAAGGTACAAATTGGGCTGTGGAGTATGTTGCACCTTGCAGCCATAGGTACATGTATCAACATAGCACATAAACATAGTTTCCAAAATCATGGTGCCGTGACATCCTAAAATACCAGTAAAACATAAAACAATAACAATAAATACATCTGTAGGCTTCAAAAGGAGAATGTACAGAGTCATTCAAAAATTTGCCTAGGTATGGTATGGGCTTGTGTTATAGCGCTTGGTGTGTGCACCCTGTCCCTAAAATTACCTCTAAGTTGAGGTGACTGTACAGATCTGAGTTGTATATGTGTAAGACGATACCTTCATGCCATGTAAGACGATCTCCCTCTCCTTGCTCTCCTTGAGACTGCCCGTGAGCATGGCCCTGAAGTAATCGCTGCAGGCGGCCAGCACGGCGCGGTGGGCCACAAACTTCTGCTTACAGGAGATCAGCAGGATATCACACAGCTGACCACTACACCGCAGCGCGCTCAGGCCCTTCAGGATCTTCCTACTGTGCTCTCCTGGATAGGGATAATACATGTAAGATGATACAGGTGTGTGTAAGATGATACATGTGTGTGTAAGATGATACAGGAGATGAGCAGGATGTCACACAGCTGACCACTACACCGCAGGGCGCTCAGGCCCTTCAGGATCTTCCTACTGTGCTCTCCTGGACAAAATAATTCAGCAACATCAAATCAATACCATAGAAGCCATAGACAAGAAAACTGTTACTCAAGCAACTGGACAGATTTTGGAAACTGTCAGACATTTTACGAAGCATTCATTATTTTTAATCAAGTAGCTATCAATTTTCAATAGTTGAACCAAAGACCTATGGACATATTGTTATGGACAATGACTTGTATCAATATATCATATTTTATGTTTCTACTCAATGTTGTCATGTCTAACGTTTCTCTCCTGACAGAACATAACATGTCTTGCCCTGTACTTGCAGGACCCCCTCAGAAATCAACTCAACTGTCTTGCGAGGAAATAAATAAAATCTATTGAATAATTATGGCACGGAACTGTTTCCAAACCTGAGTCGTGGTCCAGCTTGGCACTCTCTGACCCTCCCTCCACGATGAAGTCGTAGCAGGCCTGGACGATGGGCGGGATCTGGAGGCAGCTTGCGACTCCGAGGACCTGCTTCACGTTGTCATCATTAACCTCTGTCTTAGAGGCATACAGCATGTCCAGGAGACAGCGCACACCTTCCACTGTCACTCCCTCCAGCTCAACCTAAAGGAACGAAGGAAGGAATGAATAAAGGAATGAATGAGTAGACAGCTGGCCACACCCAGTACCTGCTTCACGTTGTCATCATTAACCTCTGTCTTAGAGGCGTACAGCATGTCCAGTAGACAGCGCACACCTTCCACTGTCACTCCCTCCAGCTCAACCTAAAGGACGGAAGGAAGGAATGAAGGAATGAATGAATGAGCAGGATCTGGCTACATATAGCGACGAGAAGCAGAACTCCAGTCAAAAGCTCTGATGTCAGAAGTTGTATGATGGACACGAAACATGAGCAAGGTAAGAGACAATATTGGTTGTGTAAAAGAACACCCCTATATACAGACCTTGTCCTGCTTGCCTTCAGTGATTGCGCTGGTGAGCAGAGCCTTGAGATAATCGCTGCAGGAGGCCAGCAGGGCCCTGTGCAGGCTGAAGCTGCTCTGTTTATTCTTACTCAAACACATTGATGTACAAAGGTATTACAACATAATAAAAACGAAATATTCTGGACCCAGACCTTGTCCTGTTTTCCATCAGTGATTGTGCTTGTGAGCAGAGCCTTCAGGTAGTCACTGCAGGAGGCCAGCAGGGCTCGGTGCAGGCTGAAGCTGCTGGACTCGGAAACCAGCGTGAAGTCACACAGCACGCCCCCCTCCCGCAGACTGTTCAGCCCTGACAGCACAAACTCTGGGTGCTTCTCCGAGAAAAACTCCTCCAACTCCTCCAGCTCAACATCCACCTGGTCAGGAGGCAACTCTTCAGCTTCCATGGTGCATCACTAAGTCTTTACTCTGTAACAACATACAACAGTCTTCACTTTACTGTGGAACAACATATAACAGTCTTCTTCAGCATCCATCCTCATCACTTTACTCTGTAACAACATGTACAACATGGTCATTCTTTCAGTAGCAACATACAACATTCTTAGGAATCGGTGCATCATTTTACTCTGGAACAACATACAACATCATCAGACATTCATCCATGGTACATCACAAGTCAGGCATCTCTCGGACATATCAACATACATTGTACATGTACAACATGGTCACTCCTTCAGTATTCACTCCTTCTGTAACAACTTAACAGTCTTCAGCTTTGGTGTATCACTTTACTCTGGAACAACATAGTACAATATAACAACGAACATGGTCACTTCTTCAGTAGTTTCAGAGAGATGCAAGTTTTCCTACATGCCCTCAGCTTCATGTTGACAGCTTCTCGTTTCATTTTCTTGTCAACATCTGACAACCAAGGAAATAAGATGGTTTGGCCTTAGAATCCTATTCACTCAAGTATAAGCTGACTACATATATAGCTACATCTCAACCTGTAGACAAAATGCCCACCAGCAAACATGCATCTCTCCAGCCTTCTCCCTGCTGCCTACCCAAATGTAACCCTGGACCAGCACAAACCTGGTGCTGAAAGGATTCAGGACATGTGTGAGGAGATCAGCCTCAAGGCCAGGGATGGTTATGGCGTCTCAAAAAGCAGCAGGTTTTGTACCCTTACAGATATATAATCTGTCACAGGTGCTGAATCACAGCTATATCAATATTGGCTAGCCAGAAGTCACCCAGAATGCTAACCTACGAGGAGGCCCGCGGCACCTGAAGATATATGGCATAAACATGTTCATAAATGGACAGCAGATTTGCAACTTTGATTTTGAATGGATGAATGAATGAATGGTTTATTTGATAATTTTGAACAGATGTGTAAAGCTAGAGGCTGAATTGCATATAGTACATGTATCTTTTAGTTTTACATATTTCAAATTTGAAACTAAACACCTTGATTTTCATATGATGAACAAACTTTCAATTACATGTACATGTGTGCAATGGGAATTCCCTGATGAATATTCTACCCTGGTAGCTCAGGCCCTGCCCCAGGCCTGGTACATGTTATGAATCTGGGTCTTACCTCCCCATCACAGCTCTTGTACTACACATAAGCTGGTTTTCTTCAAAGAGGAACGGGACCGTTTAACGGTAAGAGTAAAAAGAAGGGACCAAAGCACTCTGTCTCATGATGAATAACACCAGTGACATCTTCATACAGACATCAGAAGACTCCAAAACAGTTAAGATCCTAACTGATGTATGCAGAAAAGACAGGCAAATTCTCACGATGATCCTAGCTTTATGTTTTCTGTATGAAGAACGATCGATGCTGCATGTCAGATTGCCAACATCACTGGCATCTTTATACAGAGTGAGACATCAGAAGAACACCAAAGCAGCATCTCCTAAACAAGGAAGCTGATACATGTGCAGATAAGACAGGCAGATTCCCCTGATGATCCTGGCTGTAAGTTTCTTTGTGAAAGATGTCAGATTGCCAACATCACTGGCATCTTTATACAGACATCAGAAGACACCAAAGCAGCATCTCAAAACTGATGTTTGCAGATAACACAGGCAGATTCCCTCGATGATCCTAGCTGTATGTTTTCTGTATGAAGAATGCTGCTGCATGTCAGACTGCCAACGTCAGTAGCATCTTTATAGTATACAGACTTAAGATTAAGAAAGACATTAATTTAAAGCAGCAGCTTCTAACCTAGGAAACTGATGTGTGCAGATGATACAGGCAAATTCCCTCGATGATTCTGGCTGTATGTATTCTGTATGAAGGATGCTGCATGTCAGATTGCCAACAGAAGCTATCTTTCTGCAAAGCCATTTTGGCAGGAGTCATGTCTCATGATGTTGCTTGCAGCATTCAAGACTCTAGAATGTACAATCTGCATTAATATAGCAGTTGATCAACATGTGTGTTTTGCCTGAATGTTTACGAAACTGACGTATAGAGAATAGATACTGGTACATGAGAAAAGGCATTTTCAAAACATACATAATCTTATCATGATGAACTGTCATTTATCATGATTCTAATTATGATGTTACATGTAGACCCTATTCAAACTGCATTACAGGACTATATACAGACCTGAGTTGAATAAAATAGATTAGAAAGACTGTGATAGTCAGTCAGTATAATACAGACTATGACATTAGAATGTACATATGATATGGTATGTACATGTATGTACTGTCAGGAAGACGAAATGACAAAAATTAAAAGATCAAAAATCCGAGAACCAACAAATTGAATTGGTGTGGCCTTTAATAGCTAGATTTTGTTTTGAAATGTCTGAAAAGCAAAGAGATACTGTAACATCAGAGAGGCTGTACATGATCCAGAGGTTGACAGGAATAGCCCTGATGATACCCGACACCCAGGCCGGCTATTTTAGGCTGCATGTGGAGAGACAGTAAATCTACAGACATGACAGGGATGGGCTCTGACTCGGACCTATTCCATTACCAACATATCCTCTGGCCTATATGTCATGCATGGCCTAGTCTATACATGTATGTCATATATTGACTATATGTCAGTACATTCAGCACTTAGGGGTGGGTACTGGTTAGGTTTGATCATTTTCAAGTCCAGATTCAGGTCCAAAGGACTTAGGTTTAAGTCTAGACCTGAACCTGATTAATAGTAAAACAGTTAGTACTACATCATATTTTTGAGACATGCGTACAGCCTCTGTGAGTGTGAGCTTGCATGAGTATACATGTAGGTTAATGTGAGTGGTACAGATACATTAAATTATGTATGAAAGGGTGCAAACCTTGGTGAAATGGCATTTAGATTAGAAATGTTGTGGTAAGTTGCTAACTGGTGTTGTGGAAAGAGGAATACATATTAGGAATCAGAGGCAACTACTCAGTAGATAGAGAGTTAGCTGTTTGTACTAGTATCTGTATAATTTAACCAGCACAACCCCAGCTTCACAGGCACACAGCATTGGCTGGTTATATCACACCAAATGACCTCAGTCACACCTAAACCAGCCATATCTAAAACTGTAGCTGAGTAGAGTATTAACTCTACCTACCATTTACAGCTACAGCTATCAGATGAAGAGGACCCACTGTTATCCCCATTACGGGACACCCTGGGCTGAGCCACGAGTGTCAGATTACCAGTCAACCGTCCTGACATGCGGATTCTGAGGAAACGTACCCACAACCTCTCAAGCAATGCAACTGCTACGCACCTCAAGATTAACCCTGAGTGTTTCACACCGGCTTCTCGAGACTGAAGAATCTTCTCTGATCCCTAGCTTCTCTCTCTCTGAGGGCCTGACGGTACTTGTACACCCGGGGGAGGGCTGGAGTATGAGATCAGGAGATTATTTATAGGTTCACAATTATACATAACATTCCCTGTGGACTGGTGTGGGCTGGTGGGAACCGGGATGGGGGGGGGGATGTCGTCGTGGCAACAAGAAAAACAGCCCTTCTGTGATGTAACAGTGTGTTTGATAACAATGTTTTTTCTGCCAAGATTCTGTTTGCAAACAACTGCAAGGAGCAAAATGTTAATGAGGAATTTTGTGTGAAACATTTGATGGAATTCTGTGTGAAACCTGACAGAATTTTGTGAAGAGGAAAAGGAATTTTGTGTGAAACATGAGAGGAAAACGAAGGATTTGCCCTGCTGTTAATTGGGTGTTCTGGTATGTCTGCCACTGAGTTGACAGACATGTTCCCTCATCATACTGTGTACAAACACTACTGTACTGAACATCTGTAGATACATTTGTATAGTGCAGTAGCAAGTTCAGGTTCTGAAATTGAAGAAAGTCAACTAACTTGTGTTCCCAGCTGGTACAGCTTTTCCATCTCTCAATGCTGTGGTATAATGGTATATTGACATCATGGCTCCTCACAAATGTATGTTCACATAATACAGTAGCTTTGGAGCTATTATAGGCCTGTTTTATTTCACCCTTCACTTAACATTTTTTCTGAAAAAATCTGAAAACCAGTCAATTGAATTGGTGCAGCCTAGGGCTTTTCTCAACCAGATTTTCAACCACGTATAGATGAATGGGATAACAGAGATGTCCTTTGATCACTTTGAACTGAACAAATGCTAGCAGAGTCTTATCATCATCAGTGATATACTAGTATCTGATCAACTTAGATTTCTTTTACAACTTGTTGTCAAGAGTGACATTCATTTATCATTTGACATTCTTATTTATTTGAAGCTTCTAGTTTGCAAATGACTCTGAGCTGCGTGGCATGACTGTCTTCAGGGCAGCTCAACTGGCCAATACATCACATGAACCCTGACCTGGTGACAGAGACGTTCATGGAACGCTCAGGAATTCGTGTTGCATCATTCAGAATTCTCCCAAGGCTAAACTGTAGGAGGGCCTGCATGGGGGAGGGGGTAGTGATTACAAATTACGCAAAGTTTTGAATTACGCTTAAGTCTCAGAGCTGATAATAAAAAACTATGCATTACGGCTCATGTACTGATTGAAAATTATTTTGATTTTAGGTGGCTGCCTACAGATTACAAGGACTAAAAGGGCCTGATTAAGGCATACAGGCCCTCCTATAGTTACACCCAGGCCATGCCCTCCTGAGTCAACAGTTCTGAGAAACCTGCTAAATCAGTTTCATTCACAAGCAGCAGGATTGTAACCCTCATGGTCTGTCTAACATGTACACTCGAACTTTATGTGTGTACAGTACCCCATTCAATTTATACTAATACTATTATAAATTATACTGGGGTGAATGGGAAATGTCTTGGCTTTTCAGAATTCTATGCAGATCCCCCAATTATCCCATAAGCTGTGATGCAAATAGCACTAAGTCTTGCAATTAGCCTACAGGCACAAATTCACAATCAACTTTATACAACATGTTGCACATTGTGGGTTCTGATATTGAATAGCAGAGAAAATTTTAGCGGCCACCAAGTACTGTACTAACAGTGCCACCTAGCACCAATGATGGATACTGCAGTTTAGACCAAAGATTGACCAAGACTCCTCCTTACCATTCTTCATGGGATTTCAAAATTTTTTGGCTTATAAAAACAGAGAAAACCTTCTGTAACTTCTTTCAGACAAGAGCTCTAGTTATCATCAATGATCACAAAACATTGCTGAGTGCATATCATGATTTATTTAGAACATGGACAAGGACATGCTAAACTTAAAGGTAGATTTTGGCAATTTTACAAAAATACATATGAAAGAATTCAGTGTAACCCTATTCTATACAAGTTTCACAAGACATACACTGAACACATTGATTTACACATGGTACAATTTATAATAATTCTATTAACAGATCAAAGGTATGGCATTGTGTTGGTAAAACATACAACTGTTCAAATCAACATTGAATCCATACATCTAAGATCTAAGTATGCAACAACATTCGTTAAAATACAGGTGGCCAAAAGTAACCTCAAGTGTCTAAAAATCTTTAACAAAACATCACTAAAATGTGGTTGAATTGCACATGCCTTTACAATTGCAAATCACCAGATAGTAATTTTTTTAAACACTGGCAGGTGTGACATGTACAAAACTTATAAACAAGGCTTACGAAGATCTTAAACAAATTCAAAACAATAATTCTGTTACACATGAAACTGTATCAAATTCACATTTTTGTTTTTCTGAGGGGAAAGTCAGTGCCTATGTGATACACAAACTTGGGACGATTGCCACCTAAAGGCTAAAGATAACCTATTTAAGGTTTTGTTACTGATTTTAACAAAAATGTACCTCTTGTAGAAAGGTAGAATTGCACATGAGGAAACAGTTGAACATGTCCAGTCACTGGAATTGTCTGTTAGCCCTTCAACTTTAGAGAAGAAAACCAAATAGACAACAAGGTTACTGAGGTGTCCATATAACATAGTTTGGCAGATTGACAATATCTGTGTAATCTGTTGTCACATGTAAAATATAGATTTTTAACCAAAATTGCTAAATATAAAAACATCTCGCTCAGTGCTGAACTCCCAACTAACTTGATGTCAGGTAAAAAGGTGCAAGTTCCACAGTTTTTTCACTCCTTCTCTCCTTTTCTTCTTCTTCTTCTCCACCACATCATTGGCCTTCCATTCTATTGACTCCTGTGCTTTCTATTTCTAAGTCATTCATTGCAGCAAACAGTACAATACAGTAACTTCAGTACTTCAGAAAGCGCCCCCTGTGGAGGGTTACTGGAACTGCAGACCAACAGCCAAAGACTTGAGTTTGACTTTTTCAAGGCCGTCTTTGGCAGCACCGGCACATTTTGAAGACATTACTTACATTTTACACTTTCTTTGTCCCTCTTAAGGCAGATTGAGTATCAAAAAGTCAAGGACACTTACAGTTGAAGACAAGGCTAGCTCGGACCAAAAACACTTCCTTGGAGACATACAGCCTAAGAACTTACTGTAGACATAGCTAATGAGGGTGACATTCCACATAGTTTAGCTGTACTCTCTACAAAGACCTACAAAAGTACGCATTTTTTGTATCTTTGTCATGAACAATCTTTGGAGTGAACATTGTCTCTTACACACTGTGGAAAGTGTCTCCTGGGGTGTTACTGAGTGGTACAACTACAAGACATGGATCGCTCAGATATAATACTACTTTCTTGAAGACACTCACAGCATAAGACATGGTTATCCAAGGAGAACTTTCTAAGACTCCAGGCCATACCAGGAGAACTTTCTTGAAGACACAGTTACAGGACTGGGCGCGGTACAGCGAGGGGAACACAGGTACTGCTGCAGGGGCAGCCGGTACTTCCCACATCTTTGTCATGAACAGTCTTTGGAGTGGACATAACTGTCTCTTACACACTGTGGAAAGTGTCGTCTGTACAAGACATGGCTCGCTCAGATCTAAAACTACATTGTACTAAATCTTGGAGACACTATCAGCCTAAGACATGGCTAACCCAGTAAAACTCTCTTGAACTTGAAGACATGGTCAGCCCAGTAGATGTTTCTTGAAGACACAGTTATCCCAGAAGAACTTTTTTGATCTTGTCCGGTGGGACGACCCCTTCCTCTTCAGACTAACTGCCAAGTCTGGACATGGCTAGCCCAGGAGTATTTTCTTGAAGACATAGCTATCCCTGGAGTGCATATACGTTCTTGAAGACATGGCTAGCCCAGTAGAACCTTCTAAGGCATGGCCTAGCCCAGTAGAACTTTCTTGATCTTGTCAGGTGGGACGACCCCTTCCTCCTCAGACTCTGACTCTGAGCTGGTGACAGGACTAGGCGCGGTGCAGCGTGGGGAGCACAGGTACTGCTGCAGGGGCAGCCGGTACTTCCCACAGAAGTCCACAAACTTGATCTGCTTCACACGGGCATCAAAGTACACACCTGCAGGGGAAGAGCAGAAACATAACGTTATAATTACACTGTTACCTTTACAGAACCTTTGTTTTAGCTCCTTATTCTACTTCTCACAGAAGTCCACAAACTTGATCTGCTTCACACGGGCATCAAAGTATACACCTGTTTGGGCAGGAAAATTACTGGTCATTATTTACATTGCATATTGTAACATTGGCAGAAGGACAACAATCCCAACATTGTCCTTGCAACATCACAATAATGTCTTCACATGTCAATGTAGCATCTAGACAAGGGCTTCTTGTAAAAGAAAAAATTAAGTAGACACCTGTAGGGTGGGGGGGGTGGGGAGAAACATAATGCAATATACCGGGTACACACCCTACACTACAGCATGTATAGCCAACACATGTGACATGTTAAAGTAGATTGTGTCTTCTTGAACATTAGCAGTAAAAGTTTGTTGTTTGCAGTGTCTAAGTGTCTTGTGACATGTTCAAACATCTTGCCTTCCTGTGTTAGCTCTGTCTGACCTTGGGAGGAATTCTTAACCTCACAGCTGGGGTGATTCGGGGTAAAGGTCGGACACAAGGTCATGCAGGAGGGGAGGCAAACGGAAATCCTGTGGATTAATCACTTTTCTGGCCAAGTAAACCTGCTGGGGTGACTTAGATAATTTTGCCCACCTGCATTGTGATTAACACACTAACACAGTGCCCTATTATACCCAGAACTGTGTCTAGGATTAGGGCTAGGATCAGGGACAGTTCTGTATAGTCCATGTGTATCCAAGAACATAGATTTGTCCTAGGTACAGTTCTGGATATGCGTGGACTACCCAGAACTGTGACTAAGCATGGTTCAGAACTTCTGGAGAAAGTACGGCTCTGGATAAAGCACAGTTCTGGATACAACAGAGTTATGCCTTCAGGCCACCAGAGATTACTACAATGCTGACTGGCAAGAACTGGATTTCCTACAGGGGTCACGAAAGTTCATGGCCGTGGGCTGCGTCAAACACACTTGGAGGTTGTTAACCTTCTCCCTGCTGCCTGACCCCATAACTTTACCCATTTGGTGCTGAATGGCTACATTAGCAGGCTGAAGGTTAAGTGTTGAGGGAGGCATTCATGCCCTTTTTTTTAAAGGTGTAATCAAGCCTTTTTAGTCTTCGTACTCCATAGGCGGCTTCCCAAAAATCATTGTAATTAGTAATAGTACATTAGCCACAAAGCGTAAAGTTGTAATCGAGTCTGAGACTTTAACGTAATTCGTAGTCGGCGGCAAAAATTTTGCGAAAGTCATAAGTACTACCCCCATGCAGGCCATCATTGAGGAGTGAGTTGAAGAGCTTTCTACACAATGTACACGCAACAAAAAAAGACAGGGTGTTTTGACTGGGCAGCAGCACTAGTATTTGTTGTTGAAGTCTGACAAGCACTGTTTTGTGCTGTCTTTCAACATCTACATACAATGAGAGCTCACTCAAATGTCGCATTGGTTGGATAACTTTTAGACACCTACACGATTTCTCACGGAAGCATACGTGCCTTGAATTAATTTTCAGCTTTTTGTTTAAAGCACTTCACTAGGAATATGTGTAGATGAAGCAAATGTTTTGCTGCGTAAGGGCTCTTATCACCGAGGCATGTCCAATCAACATGAAACACACAGGGTCAACAGTTCTCCTGATGATGCAATACCAGCCCAACTCCACCCCCCCC